CATGAGATAAAGACAGGGCTCTGTGATTGATCAACACCAATATGATAAGAAGGCAGGAATTATCCCCTCAAGACCAAGAGCTGCAGCAGGTCCTGAGTGTTCCTCCTATTCCACACGGCAAACCTTATTCTTCTAGATATCTGATTGTATAACATCCTTCAGGACATTTGTTCCTGCCCAAAATGTCCGCAGAGACATTTGGTCCACACCAAAACGTTCTTGACATTTGGCCCTATTCAAAATAACCACAGAGACACTTGGTCCATGCCAAAAGGTCCTTGAAATTTGGTCCTATTAAAAATGTCCATGAGCATATTTGATCCATGCCAACTGGTCCTTGATATTTGGTCCTGTTGAAAACACCTACTCTTAGAACATGAATCATAACAAAAATAACATAAACAAATTTTTAACAAGTTAAATGTGTTATTTAATGATTCATGGATAAATACCTCCATGGACATTTTGGATGAGGCCAAATATGACCAGCTACCAGGTGTACCAGTTAATAATGCGGATTTTTTTTTCAATAGATGGAGTTACATGGACCAAGTGTCTCAGTGGACATTCTGTATGGAACCAAATATCAACTAGCAAATCTGTAACACAATGTCATAGTACAATTGTTCTGAAAGATTGTGACAAGGATATTTAATTCAACAATCTCATTTTACATACATGAAACCAAGATCAAGCAAGGCTATGATTGCTCTAGAGCAGCGGTGGGCAACATTTTTGTGAGTGTGTGCCAAAACCAGTAAAATCTCTGACTCAAAATTCTTCTGTGTGCCAACCCTAATTTTTTTAGAACATGTTACGCCTACTTGATATCTCTTAAGGTGTACGTATGTGAAGAACCTTGAAGAAATGATGAAATTCATTCGAGCGACAAAAACACAGTATATGATGATGAAAAATACATTTATTTTTTAATGTATACATGTACACTGATCGTCCAACAGAAAACTTTATGACTCCATTTGATATTATCAGTGGGACTTTTGCTGCTGCATCACTGACGACAGAGATTTTACATCAGGTTTATATTTCGTGACCTTCAGAGATATGCACAAGCTACTACTTTCATCCGTCAGGCTACTCCTATTATGAGACTTAACAAAATTCATCACTGAGAACAAAGATTCACAAGCGTATGTGGATGAAACCAAAACACTGGCCAGATCTAGGAAGGCAGGGAGAGTTAAGGCAGAGGCATAGAAATTGCTCTTCCCCTCTCTCGTCCATCCATGTCTATGGTCTTTAAGATAACTTGTTATGTAAAATTATTTATTTATCTAAGATGCACCTACACTGAATTTACCTGAAAAATAAAAAAGTCGATATTAAGAAAAAAAATTGTAAATGGAAGATTATAAGAGAGGGTTTCGCGTGCCAGCAACAGTTACTGGCGTGCCATGTTTGGCACGCATGCCAGGGGTTGCCCACCCCTGTTCTAGGGCATACAAAATAGCTGAATCTAGCCAGTTGTTCTGCTAGTGAAAATGGTGGTACAATGATCTGTCAATAGTATGGGCTTGAAGCCTGACAGATCAAAGTTTGATATCCAGTTTTCCTGTGTACAAGAAGTATGACCTCAGGCAAGTAGTATAAGGTATCCCCCCAAAAATGTATACACACACTTTGAATAATTATAAAGGCAGTGTTTATTAAAATACATTTCATTTTCAAAATTGAGCTATCAGCTGTTAAAGTGTGTATACATTTTTGGGACACCCTTATATATAACCACCTAAACTAGGAATAATAATATAACTTACCTATTAAAACTATTGTGCTGATAAATTGGATAATGAATTTGAACCACTAAGGATAGTGCTAAAGGCTGGTTTGCTATTAAATAAATAGTGGCTGTTGTTCATGATGATGATGACATTGATGTATTCATAATCATCTCATCCCATCATTCATAGCTTTTTACTTCCAGTATAATAGTGCATCACATTATACACTTTTATTTTCAAATGACATATATATATATCATGTGTCTAATAATTGTAGAGGATTATTACTATTATTTTCTACAAAGGAGATTAGTATTTAGGATTCTTAGTGCAGAGATTTAGGAAATTAGGACTGTGCATTTTTCAGTGTCACAACTTCATATTCTGTTATTCAATTAAAATTTCAATTAAAGCAAAGTTCATAAATATGTAATCACAAGAGTGAAAAAGAAGATATATTAGTAAAATGGGCAGTTTACCAAGCTATTACTCAAGTAAGACAACACAATTTTTTAAAACAAGGCAATCTGATTTTCAAAAGGCACCCAATTACATAATCTCCTCCTCCATCTGAACTTTGTATACATGGTCTCAATAAATTACTTACTACCTGGCTACCATGAAAATATATGCTCCAGGTTTAAAAGTCTTAAACTATATTACATATTTTATAAACTGAGCAGTTGCTAAGTAAATAATGTTTTCTTTTTAAATTCTATTTTCTTTATCTTCAAATAGTTAATATTGTTTTCTACAATATCTGTTTCATACAGTGTATTTTCCAATAATTTTAATGAGAAAATGTGACATTTTACAGCATTCATTAATCCCCATGATATCAATGCTAGTTTGAAGATTAGGAAATTCAGTCAAGAAAAAAATCTTTACTATATTATATATCAGATAAGATGCAACTATTTAGCTTGTCTCTATACAGATTAAAAACTCAACATTCAAATAAATTTTCTGAAAATATCTTGATTAAATCATAGTGACTAAAATCTAATTCCAAGGTTTAATACATTTCTTATTGCAAACTAAACATAAATGACTTTTGTTTTTATTTAAATATAGATTTCTTAAGAGGCATCTTAAATGCTGTGTCTAGATTCTTACTGACTCAATAATATTTAATTAGTCACTATGAATTATTCATAGAATACTATGATATTCTCTAGTAGATATGCATTTTTATGAGGAAGTTATTATTCTGTATATAAATTTATATGTGATATACAGCATGCTTGACTCTCAGAGAAAGAGCTACTTTGCAGAAGTCTTAAACTACTCAAATTTAATAAATTAATATGGTAAGGAATTAAGTGGTTTGCTTGTCAGTTATATTCCTTCTTTGATTCAATTTGCTGCTTATAACTGACTAGAGGCCCAGTGTACAAATTCATGCACCAGTGGAGTCCCTCAGCCTGGCCTGTGGGATCAGGCCGAAACAGGCTCTCCAACATCCCCTAAGGGGTCTCGGATTGAAAGAGGGCACAGGCCAGGCCGAGGGACCCCACCGGTGTACAATCAGGGCTGGGAAGGGATGCAGGAGGTTGGCCAGCTGGGGAGGGACCACAGGAGGGCTCCAGGGTATGTCTGGCCCATCTCGCTCAGTCCTGATCAACTGGACCCCAGCAGCAAGCTAGCTTACCAGTCGGAGTGTCTTCCCCCTGGTGGTCAGTGCACGTCATAGCGACTGGTTGACCAGTCAACTGCCCCCTGGTGGTCAGTCCAAGTCATAGCGAGCAGTTGAGTTGCTTTAGCATATAATTAGCATATTACGCTTTGATTGGTTGAACAGCCAACTGGATGACCTGACACTTAGCATGTTAGGATTTTATTATATAGGACTAGAGGCTCAATGCACGAAATTCGTGCAAGAGTAGGCCTTCCTTTCCCCAGCTGCTGGCACTGGCTTCCCTCCAGCTGCCCACAGGCACCCGGGACCCTGGCTTCCTTCAAAGCCCCAGCTTCATCCAGAAGGTCATCTGGAAGGACATCTAGTCTAATTAGCATATTACACTTTTATTATTATAGATTAGGTTAATGTATTTTTTATAGTGATCAAAATAAAAATCAAGCTTTATTCAAGTTAAAGGATATTAAAGGGAATGATTGATTTAATATTTTAGAATATTGATAATTAACTGAATTATTACTGTGACTAATAGCATAGGAAGGAAAAAAATAAAACAATAATCTAGAAGCCTGAATTCTGGTGATGATCATACATGAGCTTGGTCAAGTTCTTTAACTTCTCTGGGTTTCAGCTTTCTTACCACTGTTATTAAGCAATTGCCCATATCCTATAACAAGAAAATTATATCCAATTAAAATTTCAGTAATACAAAGAAGTACTAATGAACTAGTTGAACTAATATATTTTTAAAGGTTTCTAAAAGCAGCCCATGCAGTTTTAAGAAATGATTTTATCAATGACAGAAATAATATAATGTTGCCATATATTATCTAGTCTTTTCATCAGTAAAGGAAGATTTTAAATAGCATATTCGTAATTACTGCCAAACACTTGAGTACCAATTATGTACACCCTTTTGCTGTGGAGGTGGAGTTTATAACTTTAAACTTGAATTAAGCACTATTAAATATAAAGGCATTCTTTTTTTTCACCTGATAAAATCTTTATTTCTCCTTCAATTTTAAAATTAAATTTATTGGGGTGACATTGGTTAATAAGATTATATAGGTTTCAAGTATACAAGAAATGTGTATCACCTTAAATAATTAAATGGTTGAATTGTTAAAATCACGTAGGCGTTCATAAGTAATATCTTTTTTATCTGTGCCTGAAATAATGTTATCAGGTAGATGCTATTAATCAAGTAACCAAGAGAGGAAATTTATACACATATAAAACAGTGTGTAAAGCCTTGTTTGTTGACCAAAGTGTTTAAGAAAATAAATTAGCAATTATGTAGACAAAACACTTCAGTCCATCTGCTGATTTAAAATATACTTGATTTTCAAAATATACTTAATCTTAAGAGGTGGGGTATTAAGAATATCTCCATTTTATTGGTATTTTTGTGAAAAAAAGAAGAAAGGGTTAAGCTGTGGGTTATGACCTTTATCTTAAACACTTATTTTGGGTTTGCATCCTGTGTGCACAATAAAGGGCAAATATGATGGGGATCTTGGGAATCCATTTCCACATTTTCAGGCATACACTAAGTTGTAAAGTAAATTTGGTAATGAAATGTCATCCCGAGAAATGTTAATCTTGTGTCTGTGTTTCAGCTTCTGATATGGCGGCAGAACAGGGGCAGATTCTGGTGATAGCCACCGCGGCTGTCGGGGGATTCACTCTCCTTGTCATTCTTACTTTGTTCTTCTTAATCACCGGCAGGTAACTGATGTCTACCAAATCATTTCCAAAATTTGTGGAAAGCATTTTTAATATACTGTGTATTAAAATGTTTTTTTTTTAAATATATTTTATTGATTCTTCTACAGAAAGAAGGGAGAGAGATAGAGAGTCAGAAACATCGATGAGAGAGAAACATCGACCAGCTGCCTCCTGCACATCTCCCACTGGGGATGTGCCCACAACCCAGGTACATGCCCTTGACCGGAATCGAACCCGGGACCCTTCAGTCCGCAGGCCGACGCTCTATCCACTGAGCCAAACCGGTCTCGGCAAAATGTTTTTAAATATAACAAAGCACACCTGAGAGAAAAAGGGACCGGGGTCCATTCTGCTCTGAGAGTGAATGTTGTAAGATGACAGAACCACCATGGCTCATTCTCTGTATCCACAGGTCCCTGAAAAATGAGGCAACCAGAGACTTGATAAGAACACTGTGAAAGCTGTAAATGATAAAGTTCTACTTGATAAGTTAATTCTGAGTTTTTCCTTTACTACTACCAAATTATACCATAAAAGGGATTTAGAGGAAATTTAACAGAGATTGAACAATTTATATGAAAGTTCTTTATCAATTTAGTGTTACAGAAATGTGTTATTTTCAATCCATTGCATATTGAAAGAATCTATATTAGAATAAACCCTACTATATTTTCATTGCCATTTATAACATAAGTGCTGCCCATGCATTATGAATTTGGGGGCACTGATATCTTGATAATACCCTTTCATGGAGTTACACACACTTTAAAGACAATCAGTTTTGAGCCTAAAAAGATTATTCAGTTATTAAAGTTCAATGAGTACTATAAGGTGATATTAACTCCAAATACACAAATTATGTTAACTAGACTGTGATAATTTAGATATGATGGTTAATTTGATTCAGAAAGATTCTTATTTTCTTACTTGAAAATTTCTTTAAAGTAGTTTGGGATGCTGTCAATTATGATTTTATTTAAACAGCAATGTCATTTATCGCCAATTTAAAAAATGACTCTAACTTCATAATGGAAATTGATTTAAATGACATTTTAATAGTAATCCAATATATGGCAAACTTAGATGTAATTTTAAGTTACATTTATATGTATTGTAGAGTAGGAGCTAAGGCCTTATTTTCCCACAGAGTATGGTATTTCAGAAAATTATATAAATAGTACATATACAGTGATATAAATAGCACATGCACATGTGGAAAAGCATTTCATTAAAATGTCAGAAAATATTGCCTTGGCATGAAAACAGACATGTAGATCAATTAAACAAAATAGAGAGCCCAAAAATAAAGCTATGCGTACATGGTCAATTAATATTTGACAAAGGAGGCAAGAATATACAATGGGGTAAAGACAGTCTATTCAATAAATGGGTTTGGAAAAATAGGACAGATACATGCAAAAAAAACAAGACCACCTTCTTACACTATATACAAAAATAAACTCAAAATGAATCAAAGGTTTAAGTGTAAGACTCCATACCATAAAAATCTTAGAAGAAAATATAGACAGTAAAATCTCAGACATTTCTCATAGCAATATTTTTTCTGATATATCACCCTAGGTTAAGGAAACAAAAAGTAAAAATTAAGAAATCAAACTAAAAAGTTTTTGCACAGCAAAGGAAACCATCAACAAAATGAAAAGACAACCCACTAAATGGGAGAATATATTCACCAATGATACATATGATGAGGGGTTAACACCCAATATTTATAAAGAACTCATACAACGCAACAACTGGAAAAAAAAAATAAAAACCAAAAAAAAGAAACAATCCAATTTTAAAAAGGCAAGGACCTAAATAGACACTTCTCTAAAGTGGGCATACAGATGGCCAAAAGATATACGAAAAGATGCTCAAAGTCACTAATCATCAGAGAAATGCAAATTTTTTTGTCACCTCACACCTGTTAGAATGACTATCATCAATAAGTCAAAAAACAAGTTTTGGAGAAGATGTGAAGAAAAGGGAACCCCTTTGCACGGTTGGTGGGAATGCAAATTGGTATAGCCACTGTGAAAAACAGTATAGAGATTCCTCAAAAGATTAAAAATGGAACTGCCTTTGTCTAGCAATTCCACTTCTGGGTATATATCCAAAGGAACCCAAAACACTCATTTGAAAGAATATATGCACCCCTATATTCCTTGCAACATTATTTACCATAGCCAAGCTATGGAAGTAAGCCATGTCCTCATGTGTAGATTAGTAGATAAAAAGCTGTGGTACACTCAGACAATGTCCATTAAAAATATAGAAATTGCCCTAACTGGTTTGGCTCAGTTGATGGAGGGAGCATTGGCCTAGGGACTGAAAGGTCCTGGGTTCAATTTCAGTCAAGGGCATGTACCTTGGTTGTGGGCACGTCCCCAGTAGGGGGCGTGCAGGAGGCAGCTGATGGATGTTTCTCTCTCATCGATGTTTCTAACTCTCTATCTCTCTCCCTTCCTCTCTGTACAAAATCAATAAAATATATATTTTTTAAAATCTTACCATTTGAGGCAGCATGAATGAACCTAGAGGTTACGATAAGTGAAGTAAGTCAGTCAGAGAAAAACAAATACCACATGATTTCACGTATATGTGGAGTCTAAAGAATATAAACGAATGAACAAAATAGAAATGGAATCAGATACAGAGAACAGACTGATGGTTGCCAGAGGAGAGGTGAGTTGGGGGACTGAGTGCAAAGGTAAAGGGATTGAGAAGTACAGATTGGAAATTACAAAATAGTCATGAGAATATAAGTACAGAATAGGAAATATAGCCATTAATATTGTAATAATTATGTATAGTGCCTGTTGGTTACAGGAAATATTAGGGGAAATGCTTTGTAAAGTATATGATTGGCTAACCACTATGCTGTACAACTAACTGAAACTAATACAAAATAATATTGATCATAAACTGTAATAGACTATTTTTCAAAAATAAAAATAAATTTTAAGAAAAGAAAAGAAAATATCTCCTTTATATGTAAATATGACAAACTTAAAAGAAGACATTACAGGCATTGTAGGTTATATATGTTTGTCCTAATAAATTTGAGAGGTGGGATTAAATGTTATCTTTTCCTGAAGCAGAATTTGAATACTACTTAAAAAGAGAATTTAACAATGAAGAAAAATTTGTACTAAATTATTTTTAGTGTTTCATGTTCATGCTTGCCAATTTATATGACATCAGAAATTGCTTTAACATTCTGTATGCTGGGGAAAACAATTTCAACTGTATGAGATAAAAATAATTCATTTTGAAATATCTCTTAAGCACTTTGGTAGAGAAGCGTTCATTGGAAATTATTCTATGAGAACTGTAAGATATTTCTGAATAAATACTGAATTTGCCATAGGATTTGAAGCAAAATTCACACTTAAAGAACGGATTGTGTGCCGCAGATGTATTCTGGTTAACCATTTGGAATTAGCAGTTTGATGAACTGTCAGATCAAATGGATGCTGATGAATTTATTCATGTTGAAGAAGTCCTGGGAGATAAGCACCTGCTTCTGTTCTTCAGAACTTGATTACCCTGAGAGAGATGAGACATGCCTCTACCAAACTTCTGACATTAAAAAAAAAATCAGACTGTGGAATATAGTTATCTAAATTTCTGAGATTCTGATCAAAAACATTTTTTCATTTCATTTAGGAGTCATATATGGAAGGACACGATTGTTATTGCTGATTATAAAATATTTTCTAAGATTCCTGTCATTTGGATTAGTCAATCCACTTGAGATTACTGTATTTTTATCTGGGGCTAATTTTGATGCATACAAAAAAAAAAAAAAACCTTCTGTGGAGTATTTTCACATGTTACAAAGATGTTCCAAAAACTGGTCTTTATGATAAGGACTTTGCCCATGAGTGATATGTATTTTAATTCGCTTTGGTTCTCATTTAGCATAATTCTAAAAATAAGATTCTATTTACTTTTTTAAAAGGTGCCAATGGTACATAAAGGCAAAAATGAAGTCAGAAGAGAAGAGAAGAAACCACTTACAGAATGGGCATCGTAAGTAGTGAAGTGACTCTTTTCCATTGTTTTATATTCAAAAGTTCCTTGTAAACTTGGATCAGTGAGTTAAGAAAGCAAAAAAATCTACTTCCAACCTTTCATCAGGCTTCCCAGGTTTGTTGGTGGAAAGTGCACCTGCTTCTCATTAAATGATATTGCTTTGTTCCTAATTCTGCTTGCTGAAAAGCACGACAGACTGAATATGTCAAAAATACAAACTGGGCACTCACAATATCTCCTGCATGTGAGCTGGTTTTATTTTAGTGGAGCATTCGCCACAGAAATGTTATGGAATCCTTACTCCTTCTTGTAGGAACTGTCATTTAAACATATAACAATCAATTTACAGTTCATTAACACTAAAAAAGAAAATCAGCTCCTTAACTCTAAGAATATGTGTGAAATCCTTGAGCTGACTACAAGGTTATATCCATTTGAAGGATCTCTTCCCAAGCAAGCTGTAATTACCACTATAGTTAGTTTCCTAATTGCCAACCTCTCCTCCCCAACACCCACCTCCACCTCCAACCTCCAAATGGCAAACTACTTTGTCAAGACAGCTCCTCTGTAGCAAGAGGCTGGATTAACAAGAAAGGGATGTTTTCCAATTAACCACAGTATAGAGATGATATGTGAGGTGAGCTGTTTATTTAAGCGCATCTTCTACTTCAGATTGAGCCAAATGAGTAAGGGGTTTTTAAAACTCTATCACCATCCAGGGGAGGGAAAGGATTCAAGAGAGGAAATTAAAAACTAGAGAGATAATTTAGGGCTATTTATAAGGCTCACATGATTTCTCAAAGAGTGGTCTAAGGACCATCTTCATGAGAATACCCGACTCTCACTCACCAGCGGTCTGATTCAGAAGGGCCGGGGTAGAGCCAACATATCTGCATTTTTAGCAAGCTCTCCAGGTTGTTCTTGTGTGCAGTCAGTTTGAGGCTGGTTGCACTGGCAGGGAAGGGGGAGCTGAGACAGCCTATACCAGGCATGGAATGAGCTGGAAACAGATGCAGAAACATGGATCCAAACACCTGGACAGATAATGTATGCTGAGCAACCTTGAGATTCACTGTGGGGCATTTAGAACTGAAATGCAGAAGAAAGAGATGCTCCTGAGGTATTTATTATCTGTTTTCCAACTAACAGTTTAGCATAAACTAAACCAGATGGGCCCAGCGAGAAGCAATGAAAATAACCTGATGCAGCGAAGGAGCTAGAAGAAAGATAAGCTCATGTTTCAAAAGACTGGGATAAGTTAAATGAGTAACCAGACAGTCAAAATTAGAACTAAGTTGGATTTTTTTTTCTATAATACATATATTATGTTTGCAAGGAGGTAAAAAGTGATATTAACTAATCAATTTATTCCTTAGAAATGTGTATCACCTTAAATAATTAAATGGTTGAATTGTTAAAATCACGTAGGAGATCATAAGTAATCTTTTTTATCTGTGCCTAAAATAATGTTATCAGTTAGATATTGCTGATCATCGAGTAGTGGCCACTGAATTTGAGTTTATGGTATTCAAACTGAAATTACACAAATGCCGTATAGAATATAAATAAGAGATACAGATTATCCATTCTCCTTTCCTCCAATCTAAACTTTGGGAAATCAAGAAAGGCATAGCATTTCAGAATAATGTCAGGTCTAAGCTCATCTAGAAATATGCTTCACTAGTGCCATTTTGAGAAGTACTATTCTCATGGGTACATATCTAGTACCAGAAGACAGCAGGCAAAAAAGTAATAAAAGAAGGCAGCAGGCATAGAACTCATGGAGCAAATTATTGCTGATAATGGGCATTTCATTACCTTTCCTAAACTCACTGTATTATCTTTTGTTTGCTTGCTTTTGAGATTTTTCTTGAAAGAGCATACTTCTAGGGCAACCTAGACAATACTTAACTTTGTATGTTGAGTAGCTTTCAAAATCTAAGAAACCACAAAACTAAATACAAATTTGTATTGATCTTTTAATCCCTACTAATTTGTATTCAATATTATGTCTATGCCAAGGCCAAAAGATATAATATTACCTATAAAACCATACCTACAGTATTTGGAAATATACAAAGATGTATAAGAAATGACCTCCTGTGCTCCAGAAGCTAGAAATCTAACGTAGAAAGTACAAACCCACGAGCAAAACAGAGGAATTCCCACGGGCAGTCTGTGACTTCTGATACTGAAGAAGGTGCAAATGATATGCAACCACGCATTCAGGTTTTCCAGCCATCCCTGTCCGACTGCCCGTGGGCAGTGAGCATCCACCCCCACCAGAGGAAGAGTCACAGTTACACAGCCAACCCCCAGATTTGTGCCTTTCACGCCTACCCTTCCCTTCATAAGGGGCAGGTGGCCCTTTTCAGGACCATGTATGTTCTGTCCATGGAAGCAACTACAGAACAGGAAAGAACTACTGTTAGTTGTTGTCTTCTGACACTGGGCCATGGGTCTATTCTTTACTGCCTAAGAGTTCCTGGAAGGGGAGAAACCACAGGACTGGGGCTTAAGTTCAGGAAAACCTAGTGCAGTGGTTCTCAATCTTGGCTGCACATGAGAATCACCTGGGAATCTTTTTAAAATCCTGATTTCTGGGCCTCATCCTCCGGAAATTCTGTTTCTTTGTTATGGGGTGGGGCCACAGCATTAGTAACAAAGAAACAGAATTTCTGGAGGATGAGGCCCAGAAATCAGGATTTTAAAAAGATTCCCAGGTGATTCTCATGTGCAGCCAAGGTTGAGAACCACTGACCTAGTGCCTTAAAGTACAAGGGGCCCAGAATGGATGGACATTAACAGGCTTGCTTGCTTGTTAGGGGCGTGAGAATTGAATGGGGGAAGGTTCATGCCTCATTTCACCCATGCCCTTTAGCTAGATCAGAGGTGAAATGTATGGGTTGTCAGTGGTAAGTGAGCAGATTAAACTTTCTACAGAAATATAATAAAAGTGTATTTTCTGGAACCAGTCAGTTCACTTTCTATTAAACCACCAGGTCATTTTACATTAACGGCAAATAAAATTTTATTCCAAGTACTCAAAGCTTTAATGGAATGGGGGCATTTGCGGGGAGGGGGGTAGAAAGAGAAAAAAGAATTGCGTTTTAGTAATTAACAAGGATGACTACTTCAGTAAGTGGCTCCTTATTTTAAATAGTCACAAAATGTGTAAGTACTAAAAAAAACTCTTACGCTAAATCAGTCTTTTATTTTGTTGCAGTACGCTTCCCAGGAATTAAAACTTACATAGATCCAGATACATACGAAGACCCATCCCTGGCAGTCCATGAATTTGCGAAGGAGATTGATCCCTCAAGAATTCGCATTGAGAGAGTCATTGGGGCAGGTAAACATAAAAGCTATATCTTTGAAAATATATGATTCCTTAATGGTTTAACTGGTTTATCAATATAATATGTTAAACCTTATAGTCTTAGTCATCAAAAAATGTTAAGAAATGAAAGTAAAATTATGTTATTTTTTTAAGTATCTTAAATGTCTTAATTCCATTTCCAAACAATGAGAAAATTCAGAAAAGTTACTTTTAATATCCTATAGTCTTCTTTCAGTATGTAGATGAATTATAATAAAACTAGAGTGATTCAGGAATTTATTTTTAAAAATGTAATTTCAGGAGTTTGTCACAGGTTATTATTGATTTACTAAAACCTCAACATCTATAGACATATACTACAATTAGTATTAATATTGATGATATTACAGCTCTGCAAGATCCAGAAGTGTTCTGAGAATCATAGTGGATAAAATTTGTTTTATATCATTTTAATGTAAGTTAGTAATTTTCTCTATGTAGAACATTCAAGCACTCAGAACACTATACTTTCAACTGTTCTGGATAAATGCAAATACATTTTGAATCAGCTTTCAAGAATTTATTCTGTACATAGGGCAGAGGCTAAGCCAAGTGTAACAAAGAAAATTCATTCCTCTTTGAAGTCCCTGACTCAACGTGAGTAATCCATGCTGGCCCAGGAATTCTCATTCAGATTTTGAAAGAGTAGAAGAGTTGATCTGCCTTCCCCTAGTATGTCATCCTCCTCACCAGCCATCTCTCGTCCAGCCAGTGAGAAGAAGGAAAGAGTTGTCTCTTTGGCTGTATCTTTAAAGCAATTATCCACAAATTTAAAACATGTCTATTCACTCACAATCAAAAACAGTAACATGGACACACTTAAATGCAAGATAATTTGGAAATATAATCTGTGACCAGGCAGCTAAAAGAGGGTAAGGGAATAAATTACTAAATAGAGAAGAGAAACTGGATCCTGAAGGGAGATATTGGTCTCCTCTAGAAATGCTGAATATATGTACAATCCTTTGGACAGAGCAGAACATAGCAAAGCATGACCATTCTAGCCAGGTATCATCTCTATGCAAAAGCTAAAAAAAAAAAGGATCTGATTAGTCCTTGTCCCTTTCAAAGCTTTTCTTCATGGGAAAGACCAGCTAAATAATTAGTGGGGGCCAGTGCAAAATGAAAATGTAGAGTCCCTTGTTAAAGAGTGGTTACAAATTTTTTAGGTAGCAACAACAGAGCATTAAGCAAGTGGCAGTGCCTGGGTAGAGAATCCCTTGTATCATTTGATTCCCTATGCTCAGTGGATCATCTCATCTCCTACATGGCCAGGTCTCCCTCTAAAAGCTGACACAAGGGTCCTATACATTTAATCTTAATGCTCACAGACAAAAAGAGGCTGTCATATCAGAAAGATTAAGAACCTGTAATGCAACCAGAACCTCTATCCACTACTACTGAACATAAAGAACATCAATAGGCATTAAAGACATAATTGAAAAGAGTGATTGCATTACATTCATTTATTTTGAGGGTTTGTTTTCTTAAGACAGCAGAGGAAGAGAGAAGAAATGAAGTTGAATGATTCCATCACACCCTGACTTTGGCTTTCCGCCTCTGACATGTTCTTTAGCACTGCAGTATTCCATACTCTCACACACACACAGCAGAGCACTTTCTCTCTTCGCCCTTTGTGCAGAAATTAAACACTGCTGTCTGAAATCATATTAAAAGATAAAATCAAATATCTAAAGTGTAAACAAAGAAATTAAATTTTTCTTCAGATTCAGGCTTTTTCCAGATAAAATATAAATTTTGCCTGTAAAATGTGTAACAGACACTGCCAAAGTAAACAATAAGCTATTAATGGGACTGTTTTAATATATTTCTCTGATTTGCCAAAGGCAATATCTAAACCATGTAGTCAATCCTATACATCAGTGTCTCCTTTTTATATTTATCTTTGACTGTTTCAACTTTCAAATAATATGGTAAGCATCCTTTTACAGTGCATCTTCAAGAAAATATAAAAACAAAAATTCTTTTTTTAAAATATATTTTATTGATTTTTTTTTACAGAGAGGAAGGTAGAGGGATAGAGAGTTAGAAACACTGATGAGAGAGAAACATCGATCAGCTGCCTCCTGCACACCCCCTATTGGGGATGTGCCCGCAACCAAGGTACATGCCCTTGACCGGAATCGAACCCGGGACCCTTCAGTCTGTAGGCCAACGCTCTATCCACTGAGCCAAATAAGCTAGGGCACAAAAATTCTTTATAAGACAAAGTTGTTATGACTTTCCTCTTTCTGCTCCTGATTAGTACTGCTCTGTTAATTAAATTCATTAGGTCATCCTGGCCAGGTGGCTCAGTCAGTTGGAGCATTAAAAGGTTGCAGGTTTGATTCCCTGTCAGGGCACATACTCAGGTTGCAGGTTCAATCTCTTGTCAGGTGCATATGGGAGGCAACCAGTGAATGTTTCTCTCACACATTAATATCTCTCTTTCTCTCTCTCTTTCTCTTTCTCTCTCTTTCTCTCTCAAAAAAAAATTAAAAAGGAAGTCAATAAAACCATATTATATCCTCGGGTGAGGGTTAAAAATGTTTTGTTTTGTTTTTCATTCATTATTAGGTCATGTTCCTAAAACTCAAATTGCATGTGAAAACAAACTCATGAACGTGTGGACTTTTCCTGCAGCAGCAGAGTGTGGGAAAACATTGTTTAGTCAAATTAAAGAAGAACTAATATAGTCACGTAACATCTATGACATAATTGCACAGCTGGTTATTTGCCCAGATTTTTACTGCAAATACTTTACTTAGGTTGGCTTAGATCCTTTATTTCTGTCCCCCTCCCCACCCCCCCGCCCACACACACACACCTATTTGTGTCTTTTCAGACTCTATTTCATCATCATCTGTGTGTATTAGGTATTCCCCTTGGAAGTGTAAATTGAAGGGCATAAGTAGGAGTATAGGTGGACAGAAGTGGAATAGAGTCAAGGAGATGGGAGAAACAAGCAAGATTTCAGGTCTTAATAATTGTTAGGTAAAAGACATTCTGTTCTGATAAAGGCATTGCGAGTGGCAGTAGATTCACAATTCATTGCTGAGGAAAGATTTGCAAGACCTGCATGATGTTATTAAAGAACTGAGTAAGAATGTTTTCCAGGTTTCTAGTTGGGAGACACAACATGTAATTATTAAATATTCCTTAAATGAGTTATTTAAAACTGAACCCAAAAGTAACCACATTAAAATTTTAAGAAAGGAAAGAGCATGGAAAATTATATCAACACCAAACCCATGATACTTCTTAACATGTCCACTGAAAAATGTTTATTAATTGGCTAATGTCTATTTATAAAAGGTATTTATGCTACAGAGTTTTTTTCATATTGAGTCATTATGCTCATCAAAGACATATATAATCTGTCTTTCACATACAATCTCTGTCCCAAGGTTTTCAATTTTATAACCATCCAGATATGCAATAAATCCTTGGAAAATTTAATTTGTCCTATGTCTAGGCTATATACCTATGTATTCTTAAAATTTCTTGTCTTTCACTATAAAGTTTACTGTATTTTTAAAATGAGTTTTCTAGGACACTTTTTCTTTTTTGTATATCACTATTCTATTTAATACTGGCAGCTTATCTTTGTTCATCAATACAGGCCTGAATTCCATGAAAATGCGCATTTCCATTTAAATGAAGTGAGCAGCTCTGTTGCATAGGAGACTATCCAGATCATCTATCGCCTTTGACTTTTTGCATCATAAAATGAAATACTGTGGCCAGAGGACTATAAAACAGAAATTCCCAGGCTAAAAGAGCCAAGTCAGATTAGGGTAGAATTATTATTTTATACATATCTTGAGATAATGAGAAAACTGGTAAACTGAATTTTAATCACAGGCTAGAAAAGGTCATTGAAAGGCTATCCCTTTTTCAGGGCAGTACTGAACCTAAACCATTATAAAAAAAAAAACTTGCCTAGCAGAGTATAAATTTGAAACATTATTCCATTGAAAAAATCATTTTTGTGTCTCTAAGCCCATAGGGTATTCTTCTTACTTTTGACCTTCCCTCTTTCCCTCGTCTCAATGGAAATGCATAAAATCTCCCCCTCATTCATTCTATCCCTATATCTATACCAAACTCATTATTGCCTCTACTATCAGCCTTATCTTCTCATGGCTTAGTGTCACCATATTTTTTTTTCTTTTTCTGGAATAGCCTAGGAAGTTTTAACTATTCATTTTTCAACAGTCATCTGCAGGTAAAAGAAAATCAAAAGGACAACAAAAAGGATATAAAAGTGAGTGTCAAACCAGTGATTTATTCAGCCTAAAATTTGGTTCTGTTACTGCCATCTTGTTTGAGGTCACAGTTGCCCTTGATGGTATAGAAGGCAAAATGTTTACTTTATGTACCTCTCCTAATTCCCCTGTCATTCCCTAGCCAGCCTCTTATCTCTGCTGTAGAATCTGTTATTTTTAAGGTTTTTAAAAAACTCTTTCATTCTCTTTATTATTTTTGTTTCTCTTCTATAGCTATATGATATTTTCTTACAGCATAACAATAAGAAATGTAGACAGGATTCCAAATGTAGTTTTACAGTTTACTTTTTTATAGGAAGAAAAATGTGTCTATGGGCCATTTCCCCTATATTTAGATGAGATGCTAATTTTGTCCTTGTCCAGCAATTTAAAGGATTTATGGTAGAGGCCAGATTAATTTTCTTTTCTATTCTTGGTAACTCCTTTGTCCAATTAATAGACTGAAAATAGGATCAACAACAGATTCTGGCAAGATCTTTGTCCCTTTTACCCAAGAATTTCATAGGTTTCTAAATTAAATGATGTAATAAAAGATGGGCTTTATCCATTTTCCATGGACATTATGATATGAATTAAAAAGACAGACTGAAACCAGACAGACCCTGCTTGTATCACAATTATGGTACTAATTCACTCTCTGACCTTCATAAATTTAGTAATCTTTCATAAATTTGGTTTGCTCAC